CTCGCCTCTTCCGACCTGTCATTTCCGGGTTTGCCAACGAATGATATTCACATGCACCGGGTTCTCACAATGCAACCTCGATATGCATGCCATCTTGACCTTCCGGAATACCACCATGGGTTTCTCCATGTTCGTTGCCACCAAGCCCACGCAATTGCCGCTTTGGCTTAGGATGACAAAAAGTCCAGCATGAAGCAAATTAGACAAATGGGGCGCCCATGTGTCGCCAGCGGATGAGATCCTATGAATGAGCCTGGATTGGTTGATAGGCACCTCCTTATCCTGGCCTGGTAGTCCGTCATCTAAAGAACTGCCATCCATGCCCATGGCACATCGGACAACGCGGCACAAGCTAGAAGATCTTCTTCCTATCTTGGTTTATCTACCACTTCAGATAAACACTATCCCTGCTCCCTCACGCGAGCGCCCTCTACAATAATCGCCTGCCAAGTTGAGCTTCAATTGGGATCGCTACCATGGGCAGCCTTGGGTTCTGGGGTCCCTGCTTTACTTCCCATTCACACAGGATCCTGATTGGAATCCCGATATTAACCCCTGTACATTGACCTTGTTCCTGCTTGTGTCCCACTTGTTCTTTCGCACTTGATTCCTCCGCGCGCGGCACTCCTGAGGCCTTCTCGGGTATTGGCGTTACGTTGAACGTCTTGACCTGGTCCTGGCAATGTATGTCTTCTACCCCGTGGCGAGTTTCGCCATTGAGTCCAACAAGCCAAGCCTGTCTGTCTCCGGCAGCGGTCCCATCCCTGTTCTGATGGGGGTATGGAAATGGGTATAAGTGCTAGGCGCTCCTTTGGGGGACCTTCAAGTTGTGATCTTCTTCAAGCCGCACTCATTTCACTCCTTAGTCTTTTTCAATCACTCGAGTGTGTTGGGCCATTGAGGTCAGTGACATACTGCCCGTCATTACCATGGCACCTCTTTCCAACCTGTTTGTGTCGCTCCTTGCCACAGTTGCTTCTGTGTCGGCTGCGAAGCTTGTTATTAAGCCTAATTCAGCTCGTGTTCCGGGTGCCTACATCTTTGAATTTGAAGATGGACAAGTAAGTTTCGTTGCTTCTTGTCAACTTTCTTGAAATCTTGATCCCTGACTCTCTATTCGTATAGGATACCACCGACTTTTATAAAACTCTCCAGGCGGAGGGAAGCACTCGCATGAACCTGAACTACAAGCTCTTCAAGGGTGTCTCGGTTCAGCTTCATGACGTGGAGAATGCCGACGCAACTGCCATGCAGATTGCTGAAAGGCCTGCAATTAAGAACGCCTGGCCGGTTGAAGTTTTCAAAGTCCCAGATGACAAGATCCATTGGACTGGAACACCAGAGACCAAGAACTTGGTCCAGAAAAGGGCTAATGAGACCGTCGACACATTCACGCCTCATGTCATGACCCAAGTGGATAAGCTTCGCGCCCAGGGCATCACTGGAAAGGGCATTAAAATTGCTGTCATCGACACTGGTGTATGTTGTCTATGCTTTTACATCTGACAGCTAGTTGGCTAACAAGCTTTTTAGATTGACTATGGACATTCGGCACTGGGTGGATGCTTTGGAGAGGGCTGCCTCGTTGCATTTGGCACTGACCTGGTCGGTGATGCTTATGACGGTTACAATACACCTGTACCCGATGATGACCCAATGGACTGCTATGGCCACGGAACTCATGTGGCAGGAACTGTCGCTGCGCAGGAGAATGAGTACGGATTTACTGGTGCCGCCCCCGATGCTATTTTGGGCGCCTATAAAGTCTTTGGATGCCAAGGTGAGGCAGGTAACGATGTTCTCATTGCCGCATACCATCAGGCTTACGAGGATGGTGCCGACATCATAACCGCTTCCATCGGCGGCCCCTCGGGCTGGACCGAGGAACCGTGGGCTGTTGCAGTATCCAGAATTGCCCTCGAGGGTGGTGTGCCATGCCCAGTATCTGCAGGAAACTCAGGAACAGCTGGTTTGTTCTATGCATCTACAGCTGCTAACGGCAAAGGCGTTCTGGCTGTTGCCTCGTTTGATAACATTGAGTCGCCCACACTGCTATACGTCTCAAATTTTACTGTCGATGGTGGAGAGGTGCAGGAGTTTGGCTACACACCTGGTACGCCTTCGGACTGGGCGGGCGTGAAGCTCCCACTCTGGGCTCCCGAATTTGACACATCCATCCCTGATGGGGGCTGTGATGCTTATCCTGATGATACACCTGACTTGAGCGGATACATCGTTCTTGTGCGTCGTGGAACTTGTACTTTTGTTCAAAAGGCGAACAACGCCGTTGCAAAGGGTGCCAGATACCTCATCGTTTACAACAATGCAGCTGGGACAGGAGAGATCGACGTTTCGACAACTGAGATCAAGGCCGCTGGAATGGTAACTGCTGACCAGGGTGCCGCCTGGATCAAGCTACTGGCCGCCGGATCCGAGGTTGTGCTCAGCCTGGCTGATCCAGACACCGCGGAAAGGCGTTTGACAAGCCCTGCCAATGAGGCTACCGGTGGCGCTCTGAGCTCTTACACGAGCTGGGGTCCAACCTGGGAACTGGATGTTAAGCCCCAGCTCGGATCTCCCGGAGGCAATATCCTTTCCACCTACCCTCGCGCACTCGGTGAATATGCCGTTCTTTCTGGTACCTCGATGGCATGCCCTCTGGTAGCCGGAGCACTGGCCCTTATTGGCCAAGTCCGTGGTACCTTGGATCCCGCCTTGCTTGAGAACTTGCTCTCCAGCAACGCCAACCCCCAACTGTTCAACGACGGATCGAGCTTCTACGAGTTCTTGGCACCTGTTCCACAGCAGGGAGGCGGCTTGATCCAGGTCTACGATGCCGCTTATGCAACAACCCTGCTGGAGCCATCTAGCCTGTCCTTCAATGACACGGCCAACTTTGCGAAGGTCAGGAACTTCACTCTGAGCAACATTGGCAAGGAGGAAATCACTTACCAGATCTCTCATGTATCTGCCATCTCCATGTATACCCTGGATACCGGTAGCATTTACCCTGCCGCATTCCCAAATGAACCTGTTGATGCCCGCGCAACATTGGACTTTAGCGAGGATAAGGTCACCATCCCGGCCGGAGGCTCTGTCACAGTTGAGGTTCTACCTACCCCTCCCGAAGGTCTTGACGCTGAACGTCTGGGATTATGGTCCGGTTATGTCGCCGTGAATGGCTCTGATGGCACCTCGCTTTCTTTGCCCTACCAAGGTCTCACGGGCTCCTTGTATGACCACATCGTCCTTGGAGCCGAGGATGCCTGGATTGCGTACTCGAATGATGAGAACTATGACCCTGTCCCCGGCAACACGACCTTTACTCTCCCAGCACAGGGCACTGAGGCAGGTGATGATGCTGTGCTACCTGCTCTTGTGGCCTACTTGGCACTCGGCTCAAGCCAGTTGCGTGCTGACGTTGTTCCTGTAAATGCATCCACTATCGGTCAACCCGATGGCCTTCCACTCTGGTATCTACCCCGAGGACCGACTACCCAGCCATGGACCGGTCTTCTTGATAACGGCAAGTATGCTCTTGAGGGCAAGTACAAGATCGTGACGAGAGCTCTGCGCATTAACGGAGACGCTGACAAGGAGGCTGATTGGGACGTCGCGGAGACACAAGCGTTCGGGATCAAGTATGCGACAGCGTAAGCTTAGTGTCATCGCTGAATATAATACTTTATGCTATGAATCAGATAATTGAATAATTAAAAATGCATTATTTGCATGGATATTGAAGCTGGCTAGTGCTGAGGACCGGAGTTCTCTAATTGTATGGCATCCACATTCTATTCTGTCCAGTGAATACTCCCTCGCTTCAAATGATGTATATTACGACAACAGTAGAGACCCATCAAGGATATGAACATGTGCCGGGCTTTATTTGGACTAATATGATTGATTAATACATGCTGGACGACACGAAGATGATTCTACTGATCGTGGCTGTGTGCGTAGGATACGTAATTACACCTTATCGCCGGACTAGGCAGTCACGAGAATATTTTACCGGAGAGGGATTAAGAAATCATGCGTAGATACCGGCTCGAGGGCGTCTGGGCCATTTATTAGTGACCTGACGAGCGAATACGGTTGCCAGGATATCATAACAGCAGCCTGCCGGCTTGCCCGATGAAAATAGGCTCCCAGATTAGGTTTGCCAGGCACCCAAGCAAGCTTTGATGAAGATGGAAATTATCTTAATGAGACTGAGCTAGAGTGGGGAAAGGGGGAATTTGAACAGCAGACCATTGTCTGAAGATCATCAGTCACTGCCCGTGAAGCATCGGATTGGTTTGGATGGTATGTGCCTGCGGCGAGATTGCGGCGGTACTCTGAATCACGTGATTTGTTCCAGTACCCTTACATAATCGGGGACCCAGGGTGGATCACGAGAGCTTGGTTGCAGCCAATGGGAGGCGCAGAGCCGGGGACCTGTCAGGCAGCAGCATTCTGGAGGGAATTGTGGTTTGCGGAACCGCGGGGAGAGGCTGAAGCGAATCAACGGGCTGCCATCGCAATTGCCAGGCACCAGGATAAACTGATTCCAGCAACAGGATTACGACGTTGCGTGGTGGCGCCGGGTTTCTATCCCATTGCTCTTTAACTTTCCTAAAGAGCTGTGCCCGTCTGTAGCCGCCAGTCCATATCTCTCGTCGCAGCCCGGGTCTGGGTCTTGGCATGCATCCAGACGTCTGAAACCACACTCCAGCTGGCATCATCACCGCCATCGAACGGTCTCAATCGCACGACCATCACTGCTCTTCGAGGCATGGGCGCGCTAGCCGGTTGATCGCATTCACCACCTGTGTCTGTCTTCTTCACTTTTCCTCCACGCCCATCGTCAGCTTTACTCGCGCATTACCCAACGAATCAGTCGCAGTGGCGGAGCGTGCAAGTCAGCGGCAATTTTACCCATCGTGATTGCGCTTAAATTGCAAGTTGGCAGTCTTGTTTCCAAGCTTGCCCCGGCTTGTATAGCCTAGTTAGTGATCATGGATTCATTTCTCCCTCTCGGCGGCTTCCAGCTGCCCTTCCAGCAGCGGCTTAGCCGACTATACAACGACACCAAGAAGTCAAGCGACTTTGTCAAGGAGCCCGTCAAGAATGAAGAAGATCCCGATATCAAGGCCTTGCATCGGAAGTTGCGCATTCAAAAGGATCGGTTGGTGAGCTGGGGACTTGAATGGTCGGATCCCAAGTCTGCTGAGATTGATGAGTCGTTATCAAACGCAGGCTTGAGCGAGGTCGTCGGCAGTGTCATGTCGACCATCAAGGACATTCTTGCGGAGGCGGAACCTCTGTGGCTTAGCTCCAAGCATCTCACAGAGCCAAACCGGCCGGCTGCAGATCGCAAACCACCTCTCGTTCGATGGGATAAGACTCGGTTCGAAGACCTGGTTCGCGACCTGACCTCCTCCATCGACACACTTTACGATTTATCCCGTACTCGGTCGATGGGGGCAACTCCGCGTCCAGCACCCAAGGTCCCGCCAAAGGATCCATTGCCCAGCCAGGACTTCCGGCCTTTCGAGTCAACCCGAATGCAAACTCCTCAATCAATACGTCCTGACTCTTTGACGCATCTTCGACCTCGCCAAGGCAAAGAAGGTGCCGTCGAGAGAGAGGTGGTTTTCATGAGCAAGACTGCCTACTCTGAGCTCACCCACGGTACAGCACGAGAGCCGTGGGCTCCCTTGTTATTAGAGTACGCCACATACGACTCGATTTATTCTATTACTGGCATTTCGCCACCCATGGATCGCTTTGAGAAGCTATCCGCCGCCCTTCAGCAGGACCCTCAGCTGTCTCCTAATACCTGGACAGGTCTGCCTCGTCTGCTTGGATATTTCGAAGATCTTGAAAACTCCCGCTTTGGTCTTGTCTACCGATTCCCACCATCATTCAACGCCGTTTCTTTTGAACATGTCACCAAAAATCCCTTCTACAGTCTGCCAACACTGGCGGACGTTCTGATACAACCAGACGCGGAACCTCCCCTCGAAGCCAAGTTCAGGCTTGCCCATAACCTGGCAAACACTGTCTTTGACATGCATGCTCGTGGCATCACCCACGGAAACTTAATCCCAAAGAATGTCTGCTTTACCGACTCCGTCACTGGACCAACTGTCACAATTGGGGAAATTGATGTTCGACGGCCGCTGGTGTCCTCGTTTGACATTTTTCCCGAAGACGTGAATGGCTCTGCCGATGCCTCCCTTATGAGCCCACGAGAGCCTCAGTACCCCGGTTCGAAAATGGCCGGAGGCGAGCGTACTCGTGAATTTCTCTCACTGGCGACAGTGTTACTTTCCGTTGGGCTCTGGCTTCCTCTGGAAAGCATCACAAATATCAACGCTTCTGGCTCCATTTCTCAGCCGATGCTTAAGCAACTCTCGCAGAAGTGTGGCTCCTTATATACACGGGCGGTGCAGGCATGCTGCTCCGTCACGGAGCAGGGAAAGCTGGGAAATTCCTCCATTGAGGATCTACTTTCCTCAGCCCAGACGAAAATATCTAAATGTCTCGAAGCATGCTGTGTCTTGGATGGCGACCATGAGTTGGATGATAGAAACAACTCTGAGCTGCAACAGAGCCAGCCTAAATCCCAATCCAAGCTGCCAGTGGCCACTCCCCCTCCTGTAGGATCCTCCAAGGACTTGCGAGATGTCAAGTCGCCGGCGTTATTTACACCACCGCCCGCCACCCCCGATCCGATCACCAAAGGTAGAGAAGCTGTCAAGGTTGAGACAAATGACCTTGGTAAGATCCCACTCAGGCGCTCGGTTCATATCACATCCGGTTCGTTGAAGCTGACCTTTTCAATTACAGATGCCAGGCAGAAGGCGGCAAGTAAATCTGAAGCCAAGCTAAAGCTATATCCACACATTCCTCTCCCACCCGATGCCGTCGACAAGTGGAATACAATCCTCATGCCTCAAATCAATCTCGCCCTGAAACAATTTTACCGCAAACATCCGGAGTCTGTCGAAATATCCTTGGAATCCGTTGGACCCTCGCCAGCGATGACGAAGCCCACGGTTCTTGTTGTCTGTACATCTGTCGGCAAAGTCCGTGCAATTCTCAAGAAGCGCGTTGGTGACTTGTTCGATGAGTCGACCGGCTTTGCTTTGAAGGTGTGCAGAGGACAGGTCCTGCGCTCTCGCAGAGATTCATCGTTCCCAGTCAGGTCCATGGCAAATAGAAGCCACGCTTTAGCCGGCAACGCCGATGATGGGGAGATAGATGCCATCAACCCTGAATTCCAGCAAAGACCAGGGAACGGCGCAAGCATTGGAGCATGGATTGGCGATCGACATTTACCTCCTGTCAGCTTCGGTGGACTTGTGCTTGTCGATGACAAGGTATATGGAATGACAGTCCACCACATGCTTGATGACCCAGATCGAGACTTTGGCCAAGACGAGCCGACTAGGAGCAGTGCTGTACCAGGCCATGAGTGGTTTGATCAGTCAGTCGCCGGCAGCAGCGCCGATGATGACTTCTCCTACGAGCTTTCAGATACAGAATCCGAGGCATACTCTGAATCAGATATAACCAGTGACTGGGGCGACGATGAGGATGACGACGAGGATTCGTTTGAGCCTGGTGACATTCCTGGTATTGAGCCTGGTTGCGGCGACGGATATATTGTCACGCAGCCAGCGCTTGACGATGTTGAGGAGGGCTTTTATCCTTCTAGCGAGACTGAGGATGAGGACCATTTGGATACCTTCAGCCTCGGAGAGATGTTCGCTTCTAGTGGGATTCGTCGAAAGGAGGTCAACGGGCTGGTACACGAGGTGGACTGGGCTTTGTTCGAGTTCTCTTCCGATCGCGTTCCAGAGGACAATTTCATTCCTCGCTCAAAAGGCTTCACAGCAGCACAATCAAAGGCAAGTGCCATTCTGCATCCTACTGCGGTCGCTCCCTTTTCATCCCTTCCTGGGCTGGAGGTGCAGTGTGTCGCTAGGACAAGTGGGCTACAGACAGGCCAGATTTTGCCTACCCTGACCAGCGTCAAGATTTATGGACGCACTTCACCAAGCCACACATATCAAGTCGCAAGCCTTCCCGCCTCCAAGATACCAGAGCATGATGAGAGCCGAAGGGCCCCGATCGGTATACCAGGAGATAGTGGAGCTTGGGTCGTTGATCATCGCAATGGTCAGCTTTGCGGCCATGTCCTTGCCTGGAGTCAGCGCAAGCGAGTTGCGTACATCTGTCCCATGGACGTGCTGCTCATGGACATTGCTGAGGCTCTTGATGCTACCGAGATCAAGCTACCTACAGGCGAGGTAATACTCTCCTCTGCCCAATCCGCCGTCCAGAAGATGGAACGATATCATGGATCAACCCCTGATGGCGAAGATGAAACAGACTTTTGTGAAGACGAGGTTGCCCCTACGCTGTCCAGAATCTCACGAACCCCATCCGGCAATGGCCGAGTCAGCGGCCAAGATGCCTCGAGCTCACTCCGGATGAGCTCTCAGGGTAATATCGCTGCCCTCAATCGCACAATGAAAGAGCTTCGAGTTGATTGTGGCATCGGTGTAAGCGGCTAGGATGGATTTTCTTTGTAATTGCAATTTATGTCAGATGTTACACTGGTAATATCTACAATGTTGTCGCATTTGTTTTATTTGGGAGGAAATACCAAATCGGAGTATGTTTCCAAGGGATCTTGGACAGGTTGAAACGAATGAAAATGGGTGGATGGGATCGTTCTTGAATATCCTTCGCTTAAATCTAAATTGACTGCCTTATTGGCTACATGAAGTCATCCTCCCAGTCGGCGTTCCTCTCCTGGTTACTAGAAGCGGCCATGTTATCCTCCGTGAATAGCTCATCATAGGCGTGATCCTTTTGATACTTCTTCTCCTGCCATTCCTTGGCCTGTTTGGCCTCTTCCTTTTTCTGCACGTCGCAAAACAAGGAGATGTGTTTAGCTCTTGCACCAGATGACCAATTAATACAAGGGAGGGGGGGGGAGGGGTACTGACCCGTATAAGCTGTGCTGCCTGGTCTCGCTTGCGGAGCTCCCGGAGGCGGTCGTCCTTCTCCTGCTTGAAGTCGGGCTTCTTCTCCACCTTTGTCTTGTTGAGCCGGTTGACGATGGGGTTCTCGCGCTGGACCACGAGGATGCGCTTAACCTACGCGAACGTCCCAGTGTAAGGGTGAGTTCTTCCCATCCAATGACTCTCTCTTCTCAAGGGTCGAAGCCACCTACCTGGCGCTGGTCCTTGAAGCTGACTTGGCCGACGTCCATGGAGCCGTCCTTCTTGAGGTTCGCCCACGGGGTGTAGATGATGGTGATGTTGTCCTTCTTGTTGCCTGCTCGTGGGGGTCAGCGACATGAACCGGCGCACCCGGGGATATGATGGGGACGCGTACCCTCGATGGAGTTTGCCTTGGTGAGCTGGGCCAGGTCGATCAGGAGCTCCTGCGGAAGCTTGTCCCACTCCTGGCCATCTCTCATGCGGAGGTAGATGTGGGCGCTGGAGAGCTTGTCGACGTGGAACTACATTAAGCCAGAGAGAGGAGCAGTCAGTCATTCTCTTGCTCTTCATGGTCGACATCTTGCGTCCGTCAAAATCTACCTACCCTGTATCTGATGTCAGTCGTGAGCGCAAGGCGGGGGAGGGGCAAAGATCAGGCGCGAAGCCGACATACCAGACATCCTCTTCCCAGCCGTACTTGATGAGGTCCTCGTCTACTTTCAGTGTAAGCTCGTATTGCAAGCGAATGACGCAGGCGGAAAGGAGGGGTCCTGACTCTCAAACTTATCCTTGCCAACGTAGATGAAGCCCGAGGGCTCAACGACGTTGGAGGTGAAGTAGTAAACCATGATAAACGCCGCACGTGGCTGCTTCAAGGGGGAAAAGGACAAAACAGGATAGAAAATCAAAGAAATTATATGCAAGCAAGAGACAAGGCGAAGCCAAACTCGTAAATACAAGGCAAGTGAGGCGCCTATGATACGCAAGAACGCTGCCAAATCAGCGGGCGTTTATTACTGCACACGAGAAATTTGCGACAATGGTGTGGCGAAGCGGCGCTGTGGCGGTTGGCGGATGTGGCGCGTGCACGTGTAATGCGACCCACCCTAGACCTCCGAAAGCGAGGCTCTCGCCATGTTGGCTGAGTGTACTACAAAATCGATTAGTAGAAGATCGATTTTTTTTCAACCACGGTGATAGTGCAGTAATTTCATAGAGACGGTACATTTTCTAGTGATCCAATTTGCATTGTTCTGTCAATCAGTCTATCGCTTTGGCAGTGGTATCTAAACTGTTCGCCAACGAACTCCTTGGATCATCGTGTACTTTATCCAATCCTCAAAATAGCACCGAAAGCACTCCGTCAAACAAAAATAAGCCTTTTGAATCAAAGCCTCACCGCTCCAGGGCTTACACAATCCATCTTCCACAGGAAGACGAAAAAAAGGAGGTAATAGTAAGCCAAGGGCTTCTCACTCCAGAGACTTGATGTAAGTCAGAAACGCTTTATCCTCTTTGCCTACACAACTGTTAGTAAATATTGAATTGATACATTTGAAATGGTGTATATGTAAAGATTTACGAAAAAGCAAGGATGTATGGGGGAAAACGTTGAGAATAGAACTTACTGAGGGGAACATCCGGGTCGCGGCTGATGACCTTGATGGGGCGGGAGCAGTTGTGGGTGATGTAATCTTGCCCATGCTCTGGATGAGTTCCAAACACCTGGACCTCGATACGAAATTTTCCCTTGGCCCTGATATTGGTGTGCCGGATCTTGAAGTAGCACGCGTTGTTGGCCTCGTCGAAGACGGGGGACGTTATAGTCGCACCGCCAAGAGACTCGTTTACATACATCTGATTATGCTCGTCCTTGAGGCAGATTTTTGCCGAGAAGTAGCTATATTGGGTGGGAAAGTTCTCAAATTTGACGATGATGGGGGGCTTCTTGAAGTTGGCTCCCCTCTCAACAATGGAGGGCTGGCATATGAAATCAAGGCTTGCCATTGCGAAGGAGAGGCTTCCAAGGGTGGGAGATTCCGTTGATAAAAGGAAAAAAGAACAATAAGAAAGGAGACGAGATCGAGAGGAGGTTTGCTGCTGGATTGACTGGTGTCGATGAAAACGAGCAAGATTTCTCGGGAATCCTCAGCCCTCTTTATACACCACCCCAAGCCTCTGATCCAATACCTTCCAGCCTCATCGGAAGCGACTGAGAATCATAAACAGGTATCTCAACTCGGCTGGATGCTGAAACCCCCCCAGCCGACAACGGCACGAATTGAATTTCCGCGGAGGGCATGTGACGATACCTGGCGAACCAAGTCACTCTCGCGTGGTTCGCACGCGAGAGAAGGTATAGAGGGCGTCAGGTTAAGGAACGACCGCCTCGTTTCCGCGTGGGAAAAAGGTCTCGGTGGCGGGAAAAGAAAGCAAAACTTACATACGAGAGTGAGCTGAAAATGTACATTTTCTGATATTTGGAGTGGGAGGGGAAAATTACTGGGTGTGACGAGTGGGAGAAATTTCCATCATCGCCGAATGCCTCACTCTTTGGGACAGACACATAACCAAGTTAAGATTAGCTGTTGAATAATCAGAAAATATCGAATTGGTCAGGTTTGGGAAACTACTGGCGTTGGGAGTGCAGATCTGGGACATTCTCAGACGGAGGCTTGCTGAACAGAGGGGAAATCTGGTACACTGATATTCAAATTTCCATGTTTAGGTAAAGGGGTTTGAAGTTAACTAACCGAAATTCGGAGGTCTGAGACTTGTACAAGAAAGAATGGGCGAATGGATGGAAAGTTGTTGGGGGTGTAGAAGGGGGTGTTGGATGCCAGCTTGGACACAGGTAGAAGCTAAGCCTGAAGCATGATAGACCAATGAAACATTTGACTCTTCCCATACCCAACCAAGAAATTCTTGCTGACCAGGATTTCAGACTACATTTCTGGGGAAAGCAAGAAAGGAAGGGGTGCGGTGTGAAGGGGATGGGACGAGCGTTTGTGGGGCTCACCCAGAGTTGGGGAACACCCGCAAGGCTTGAGATAAGCGGCAGGGTACTACGATCTTGGCTGGTAGTTCAAGCCGATGAGGTGTGGAACTCAAAATCAACAGGTTGCTGTCTGCCTTGGGCCTGGGTAGTCGATATGCAGTGGGTTCTTTGGATATCCTGTATGATATAGATCGACTGCATGTTTGATGGGTGTAAAGCAACAGAGGAAGCTATGGGAGGCAGCTTGATCTGCTCCCTCGAACCCGTCCCTTTGTTTACAGGTGAGCTTTTTTGCTTTTGGGGAGCTTGGCGATCGTGGACGCATGTGGGGAAAACTTTGTATCGTGGTTGCAGGGCGAGATCGGGCTTACTGCTTCAGCTGGATCTCATAGATCCCTAGACGGAATCACTCCCTCGTGCATCTTCTCCGGAGGCTCTAATTGGTCCTGCCCCTGCAAGCCTTGTGCCAGATTGTAAACCCTGCACATGCTGGGTTACCAGGCTGGAGCAGACCCTGTGGATGATCAGTCACTGTCTCAGTAAGGTATGGTATCGGCCGGTAGGTACTTGGACATCGAGCTACTTGAGAAATGGTATGTTGGTAATATTTGCTGACTCAAAGGTAGGAAGGAATAAAGAGCAGAGTGAAGAGCAGAAATGGGAGCCAAGTCGGCCCTGCGAAGACGTAGAGCGAGGCTAGACAAGGGACGGCACGGATCCCGTGACGCAATCTCTTTACGAGCAAATAAACTCGATATTTTGGACCACAGACTGACAGCATTCCATTAGAAAGTCTGCTCGGTCAAAGGTAGGTTAGTTTTGGTATCCACGTATCCGCGTCTCACGGGCCGGCGTGGCATGGATGAGTGGACTGGGACATACGAGGTAACCATGATGTCTGATCGGCCTGTCTCACCCGTAGGCATGGTGCCTACACATGATAGATAAGTGTAGCTTTGATTTAAGATACTATGACAAAATAATTGGTGACCTGTCACGAAAGAAGAGGGTGTGTGGAATGGACACTGTTGTAGACTGGTGGAGTCTGGGACACTGTTGTGGACTCATGGAGGAAGGTACCAGGAAATTCCCGAAAAAGGAAAATCAAAAAGAAGAGAGGAGTGTGTTGATTAATGGGAGAGGGAGAGGGGTGCACGTTAGGAAGGCTAGGCAACATATTGATAGTGCCAGAACAAGGCCAGACGCGGCAACCCGACAGCACGAATGCTGTAGATGTAGTATGGGAATTTCTATGAAATGGTTAGAGCCAAATACGTGTTTGGCCGTGTATCATGGAGCAAGTAAGCTTTCAACGTCATAGGCTGGTAGGGGTATCGGTGAGCCCCTCCCATATTCATAATATCAAGGATTACGCCGCCCATATTTGCTGGTAACATGCTCTCTTTAGACTGGGTGTATATGAAAGGAAAAGGAAAGGAAACGAAAAGGAAGAAAAAGAAATGTTCCGAATACTCTCTGGGAGGCCAATCCAATGCTCGTGCAGCCTCGGAACCAAAGGGATTGCTGTAGGAGAGGTGTAGGTGTGGGCCACCCCTACACCAGAGAGCAAGAACATGGGATGTATTTTGCCTCGGGCCCTTCACGATGCGCTGGTGGCTGTCGTATGCAGCAGCCACCCTCCACAGTCAGATTGTGGCTCCTTGGCATGTTGGCAGAGATGCTCCTCTCTTGGGGTGAGGCACAAGGGTCCTTAAGGCTGACGGTGATATGTGATGAAATGAGAAATCCCCAGCTCCACATTGCATTGAAGAGAATGGCTTGAAAAGAGCAAAATGACGTGACTTTCGATAACAAATCGAGACGGCGTAACTAGATATAATAAAGGGACACAATGAGAAGATAATGTGTTTCGTTCAAGGTGTGGTCTGGGTGTCAAACTGGCTGACGCGATGACATGGATGAATGATAGGCCGGACTACAGCCTCATCATTATCAGTTCAGTGTAAGACTCAAAATGGAGGTGAGACGACGGGCATTAGTTCGGGCGCTAGGAGATTGAGTTGAGAATAATTAGGGGATGATCCACTCCAGCTGAGCATTGGACTAGCGTGGTGTAGCATCTAGAGCGGCCCAAGAGAAAGAGTGTGACGGCTGGGAGAGATAGCAAGCAGTAAAGATAAATGGAGAGGGGGAAGAGAAAAAGAAGAGGGACGGAAAGTGAGGCGGAGATGATTACAGCCAAGCAGATAGAGGTGCTCGGTAGTGAGGAATGATAGGTGCAATGTTGGAATTTGGTACATGCACGAAAGATTGGTCAACATACCCTCAATGGCCTCGACCCGGGCTTGACTGGTCTCGTGCGTACATAATCGTGTGGATCTAAACCCTCCAGTCCCAACGAGTGCCATGCAAATGGGCCACAACGAGGGCCATGCGTGTGCCTTTCTGTCCAGAGTGCGCTCCGGGGAAAAGCGAGTTGGTACGAACGGCCCAGGTACCGCCGTAGAGGTGTACGACACTCGGCGGGACGCAGAGGTACCTACTGACATGTGGTAACACAAGGCAGGGTGATGTCAAGCGACTGGACCGAGCGGTGGTCTCTCATTTCCACCAGGGACCCTTAATGCGGGACGGCGGTGTGGATCCCCATTGTTTCCTCCGAGGGCTAGTTGAGTTGATCGATGCAGCCAAGGCGTGGCTTTGTGGGCGTGATGCATGTTTGCTTTGGTCTAGATGGCTAGAGCTCCTTTCTCGGTGCTGATTGGTGGTGCCCATTGCACATTCAATGGGCTAGACTACCGAAGGACGCACTGCAAATGGGCAGGGCGTGGCGGACGCATGGTCGAAGGGTGCAGACGGCAAGGTCCAAGCAACAAGACGCAAAGGGAAAGCTATACGAGGCGTGGATGGAGGAGGTTTGTTGGTTCGTGGGAGCTTCCCCTCGAGGATGGGTGCTGACTAATGGAGGAGCGGGGAGGCTTTGCTGGTTGCGGATCGAATTAACGAGCTGGAAGAAAGAAGGAAGGTGCGCTGGACGAACTTCTGTTCTGGTGGGGATGCGTATGCCGATTCCAAGCGCGTCACTCAACGGCAAGCACCACTGCCCAGCACGCTACAGGCCGCCGTAATGATGTCGTCGGTCGCTCGGCCAGGTGCCAGCGCGCACTCTTTAGCGGGGCAGATAGCGAGGCTCACCACCACCAGAGCCGTTGCACGATCGTCCAGCGGCCGACGCACCAGAGTCCGTCTTCCTGTCTGTCCTCCCTTCATCTTTTCTCAACCATCTGCCTTCTTCCCACCATTCCTCGCATCGGCAGCACTAGCACCGTCGCCCACGCTCGTATTTGCACACACCTCCCATTCCACAGCCTCCGCCACCTCGAGAGCTAGGCCGACACCCCGCGCTCGACGTCCTGCTGTTTTCGTACCCCGCCGTTGTCAGTCCACCTCGCCAGTGACCATGGTTGCTGAGAATTTCGACGCTGTCCTCGAGGGCAAGTACCCGGCCAAGCACCATGCCAAGAGGACTGTCGAGCTCATCCGCAAGGAGATCCCCGACGCAAATGGCCTTCTCTACCTCGAGGCCCGCCACACCAAGCTTCTCGAGGACAATGATTCCCCAGAGCCCTTCCGGTACCCCCCCTCTATCCTGTCCCACGGAGAACACCCTTCGGCGGGCTAAGCACCGTCATCTACATGTGTCTCAGTACTAACAGATTGGCCTGTACCACAGCCAGCGTCGATTCTTCTACTACCTGACGGGAAGCAACCTCGCCGACAGCTTCTTCACCTTCGATATCCAAACATCCAAGTCCACCCTGTTCATCCCCCCCGTCGAGCCCGACGAGGTCATCTGGTCCGGCCTGCCTGTCACTGCTGAGGAGGCTCTTGCCCAATACGATGTCGACGAGGTCAAGTTTACCACCGATGTCAATTCCGTGCTCTCCAGCTACGCCTCAGCGAACCCCAACTCGACCATTTTCGCCATCGAGGGCCAGATCTCAGATCATATCAAGATCTCCGATTTCCAGAATAAGAACTTGAGTGT